TCCCTGTTATGGATAAATAAGTAAAATTCCTGAATTCTGGCTCTTTGTTTTCTTCTACTACCAAATGTTTTTAAAAAAATAATCAGTTTTCACTTGCTAAAAAATATATTCATCATATAATCAATATCTTTGTTTAAACAGACTTTTCATGAAAGGATTATCTGTTCTAATTTATTTCACAACTGTCTTCAACTTCATTTGGAAAAAAGATGAAAAGATGGAAAACAAAAAGGAAATTTTATGGATTTTTATTGTTTTCCATTTTTAAAAGTTTGCACACCTTATTACAAGATAGATAATTAAATATATATTCATATATATATTCATTGTTACTTTCTAGTAGTAATATTAGGTAAAAAATGAGCCACACTTGGCTGGTGTGGACCACTGTGGCCTGGGTGCAGGCCTGTGACCCAAAAGGTTGCCGGTTTCCCCGTGAGGGCACATGCCTGAGTTGCAGGCCAGGTCCCCAGTTGGGGGCGCACGAGAGGCCTCCACATAGTGACATTATTTCCCTTTTTCTCCCTCCCTTCCACTCTCTCTAAAAATAAATAAATCTTTAAAAAAATAAAAATAAATAAAAATAAATGAATAAAATCTTTTTAAAAAGTTACTAAAGATTTATTTATATTACCAACTAACCAAATAAGCAGTCTTAACCCATGAGAAATTACGTATTTCTTTGCTTTTACTTTCATTTACTTATATTTATTCTCATAAAGTCCTCAGAATTTATTAACAAAATTTCTAAAAGACATTTTTACTTGTAATATGTCAACCTAACTGTAAGAGGCAGGGTTGACTTCCCCAAAAAGAGGTATCCAAGCTCTAAAACTATTTCTTACACTGAAAGACCAGTGCTTACTTACATATACAATGGTATCTCTCCTCAGAGGACCTGTTCATGAAATCAACTTAAAGTACCATTTTAAAACATTAGAAACAACTAATTTTGTTAGATGGACAATCTTCCTTATATTTTAGATGTGCAATTAAAACAAATCAAAGCCAAAATTAAAAGCCCAACTAAAAAAAGTACACTGCAGTTTCAGGACCTTTAAGGCAGCAGAGTGCAAAGTCACAGTCAGGAGAGGGGCCAGGTTTCCTTCAATCAAAAAAAAAAAAAAAAAGAAAAAAACTCTACCAGAAATATCTAATCAGGATCATGTTTGATTATTTCTCCATCAAACTTACCAGTCAAAAAGTATGCATCACATGAAGTCATCACACTTCAAATGCATAATGTTTTATTTAAATGCTACTTAAGCAGGCCAATAATACCTTGCATGACCCACTCTGTCAATTAACCAAAGGAATAGTATTTTCATATCTGATTGAGCTTCAGAAATAAACACCCTATAAAGTAAAATAACTGGCTATTACTTACAACACAAATGGAAACAACAGAAACCCCTAACATTACATTACTTGCTCAAAGTAATTAAACATCCTGATTCCCAATCTAATGCTTTTCATTTACATTCAATCATGCTAGCAAAAAGAACCAGAAGTAGGGTTTTAGGGTAGTGATTTATAGACAAGCACTAAAGGAAATTTAGATTTTTTACTTCCTATAATGACAGAGAAAAATGATTAACTAACTTAACTAATTTTCTAATACTCCCTTCAAATACCCTATAAGCTTTTAAACAGGTTCCCACACATTAAATGCCCTTTAAAAATAAAATTCCAAAATTCAGTTATCCTCCCCAGATTGCAGGGCTAAATTTCATCTTAGAGCTCAAATTGAGAGAATTTTTTAAAAATTTATCTGGTTGTAATACATCAAGCATGACCACATGACCTTTGAAACTGACTCATATTTTTTTTAGCTGTTTTAATCTAGTCAAAATTGCAGAACTGTCAGGAAGAAAATTCTTGAAAATATAAATTATCCCTTACAATATGGCAACTTCCTCACCTTAACCACACACAAACACAAAAGCAATTCAGCCTCTAGTAGTTCTGCACTGTTAGATGAGTCTGCATTTTCTGTTTTGAAAAACCCTGGGCTTAACAGGCCTTGCTGCTGTACTCCTATTCTTTACATGTTCAGAAACTACTAATTCAATGATCTTAGCAGTTCATGCTCACTTAATTTTTAAAAATCTTTGTTTAACTTGGATAAGAATATAATTACACAACCTGAACATTACTGTGGAACTAATTCACAAATTATACATTTAGTTATGAATGCTTCTTATGCCCTATAAATGGACCCAAATATCTAAGAAGATATTGAACCAACATGGTACACAAAATATAAAAAGGTAGAAAACACTGAAAAGAAATTGAAATTTCAGGAAAGAAGTAAAGCTCCAAAGAAGATAACCTAAGAAAATAAACTCTGGAGCTTGGGAGGAAAAAAAAGCTTCAGAATGGATATTTCATTGTTGATGGACAACTGGGGAAGAAGTAAACCTCAAATCTTTCAAGACTGAAAATTACAAAAATGCATAGGCTATTCCTATAGAACAATATGGCCCTTTCTGTGTGACAGAAAACAAAATCTGAGCTAAATAATATGCTACTTACCTATCCACATCCAAAATATCAGACATATAAAACACAGGACACAAAGAGATTTAATGCAAACAAGCTCAAAATGCCCCATGTTATAATAATTGCTTAACTTCTTTATTTCCACTGTCAAGTGTTTACAAAACAATAAAAGAAAGATTCTATTATATCCAGGTCTGGATATATTTTCAGATTAATGTTCCCATATATTGTCACTTTATGGATTTACAGGAATAATCAAGATTGCACTGCCTTAACTGAAGTAAGGCTAAGAAGCACTTCTGTCTTTGATTTTACTGTACGAAGCGAAAAATACAAATCAAAGATGAGATGTTCAAAGGCTAAAAATTACTGTCACCTGGTTGTTTGACCTTTTCAATCCAACTAATGAATCCTTGTCCTTTTCAACAATTACTTCACATTTTTTGTTACTTATTTGCTTAAAAATTAAAGTAACTTATAAAGAATCTCTATAACTGAAATTGCGTTACCTACTGTCTTTGTAAAATTAAGTTTTTCTATAGAAAATTTGCAAAATACCAGGAAGTATAAAGAAAAAATTATTTGTAGTTTCACTTTTATCTAACTTTAACTATTGTTTGAGTGTTACTTCTGGGACACAAAAAGAGTCACATACTAAACCTGACAAGCTCAGGGAAGGCTCTTTTTCATCCGGATAACATACCTATTGAATGTTAGGGTAATTTCTTTTTTGGGACCTTCACTGCACCAGAACAGAAACCATAAAACCTGTTACTGTGTTGTTAACTGCTAACTACCCTATACCCACAAATGTAAAAGAGGTATGTGTCTATCGGTTTTACTTTTTTTTATCCAATTTCACAGATTCCCCTGCTTTGCTTTCTCCCACCTCCCTAATCTATCACCAGTGGATTTCATGTAACCCCCTTGCAGGTCCTCTTTTGATTGCAATGCATAAAATCAGGTGCAAAACTGCCATTCTCTGGAGCATTTTCTCAATCCGTTGAGATTTTGCTTCCCAGCAGTTGTCTGTTGGGCTGAGATAAACTCATAAAAATTCTCTACAGGTTTAAACATTTCTTACATTGACATTTCACATAAACATATAATTGCTTCTAAGTTCTATCTATATAGTTTACAAAATTAGAATTACACTCTTTTCTAACTTGTTTTTATTTAAAAATTAATTCACAGTTTGTGAACGATTTTTAATAGTTTCTTCATCCTCAGGTAAAGAGTTAAATTATGCATTAACATAATACTGCCACTTCCTCTTTCCCTTCCCTTTTATGAGCAAAGCTCAAGAATAGGAAACCATTCACACTAAATATTACCAAGAAATATGGGGCCTAATGAGATTGAAACTTCAAGCCAAAGATATGATTGGCTAATAGTGACATCTGAAGGACTATCCAGGGGATGTAACGTTACTGGAAGACGCAAATCTAAAATTCGCAGTACTAAAGTAGTTACCTATTCCAACGACAAGAAAACTCCATTCTGTTTTTGAAGACAGCTTGAGTGAAGCAGTGCAAATTTCACCACTCAATAAAGTGGCCTAATAGGAGGCTGAGTTCGTTAAAACTGGCGCTCCCAATAGCAGTTGGATTCATTAAACAAGGGAAACATGTAACGCATACACGGCACTATATGGACAACTGCTACAGAGAATTTATCTATTAGGAAGGCCGACGCTAAGGGGGTCCGGTGAAAAAGGACAAGGATATGGAAGGGGATTTCATCAGCCTGGCGTACGAGCAGAAATTTCAGCTGCATTATTTAATATTTAATCTTTCTATTCCCGGCATCACGGGGCTCAAACGTCACCAAAAAGGATGGGCCAGTTGAAACCCAGGCAGGGTGACGTACATCACATATTACCATATGGATTCTCACCATCAGGACCGAGCAGTATCCCAATCAGCCCAGGGAAGGAGGGTGGGCACCCCGGGCCGTCAACTCCCCAACCCCCTTGGCGCACCGCTGGGGTCTGCGCGTGCGGATCGGGGGCGGCAAGACCACCAGACCCGACGCCTCTGGAGCCGACTCCTTGCCGCCGGAGGTGTGAGTCGGCTTACCTGGTCAACGCGCGATCGCACGCTCCAGGCGACAAGAGTCGAACTCGGGTCCCGAGACCGCGCGAGTGCCTCCCCCAGGCGGCTGATCCGACGGTGCCAACCACGGCCGCGACAGGTGGCCGCGACTCCTCTCCCGGGGTGAAAACCCGCCCAAGGCCGTACCTGAAGTGGCAGCCCCACCGCCGCTCCACCGTGCTAGCTGCTGCGGTGGCGGTGCTCACAGCTCACAGCGCAGTGACGCCTCTCATAAAAACAACCTGCTCAAAGGCGTCCGCAGCCGGGAGGCGGCGGCCGGCGGGGCGCCGCAGTGCATGCTGGGACTCGTAGTCTCGCCCGCGCCTTAAGTGCGGCAGCAGCGGAGAGAAGAACTACGACTCCCGAAGAGGCGCGCAGCACGCCGCGGCGAGGCTTCAGGAAGCCGGGCCAGGTGACCTCGAGCCTCACAACATCCGGGCCTGGCGCGGGAGGGACGGAGAGGGGCTGCGACCGGTTGTTATGGAGACGGGCTGCTACAATCCCTCCGAAAGATTCGCGATTTCACCCTGGAGGACTGCTCCAGATATTGATCCGGGTTTAATTGGGTGTACGAAAAAGGCCGCATCTCCTGAGGCACTCGCTGGCCCTCTTGCCGTCTGCTGCAGGAAAAGACTACGTTTGCCGAAAAAATAAAGAAGATACGAAGAATGACGGAGTACGACTGGGTGGGTTTGGGCAAAGGGCTGGATGTTTTCGAATGTTAATATTCTTTGTTTTAAATTTGGGGCATCCGTACTCCCACCTAACCACCCCCCGCCCCGAAAAAGAACCAACTTTCTAGGAAACCACTGGGCTACAAAGATGCAAATATGCATTATTGCATTAAGCCAGAATTGCTCTGAAGGTATAAAGATGATTGGGGATGGTATGCAACTCCTACCCTATTGCAAGCTGTGAGGTGATGGCTTTGAACGTGAAAAACGTACCTTGTATTTTACATTTGTTTATATTGTACCTTGTTCAAAAGATATGAGCTATCAAAAGATGCTTATACTCACTGTTGAGAAAAACTAGAAAGCTAAGGTTTAACTGTCCTTCCCCCTAGAATGGGGGGCGGGGAGGAAAGGAAGAAAAACATTAACAAGGAAAATGGTAGGCCTCAGCAGAAACAAAAGGATGCCTCAAAATTAGACTTTTGGGTCTTTTGCTGTGGATGTTAATATATTTAACTGTGAATATATTTAACTGTGATGTGTCAACTGTGACACATCAAAAAAGAAAAAAACAATTTTTAATTTCATATTTACAATTTCTCTAAGGGATATTTTTATTACTTCAATGGCTTGCTCTCATTTTTTTTTTTTTAAATGTATGTGATTATACCAAAGGCTTGAAAAGTGACAGGCTTTCTCTAATTCTAGGAGACCCTTAAAAATTAAATTAGTAAGAAAGCTAATACCATCTATTTATAAATTTTTATTCTTTTCAAGGCACTTTCATGGTCACTTCTAAAACAGTCAATTTTAAAAGAATCATACAATTTTAATTTACATTTCTATCCTTATGTACAAAACAGTTGCTGACCCCATGCATAACTGGCAGTTAACTTGAAATTAACCCTTTTATTATTCTTTGCATGAGGCTATTTTGTTTTGTTTTCAATAGTACCTAGTTTGAACTCCACATTTTAAGAATATCGGATTTCAATGTGTTATAGAATTGTGCACCTGAAACCTATGTAACTTTAGTACCAGTGTCACCCCCCAATAAAGTCAATAAAAAGGAAAAATGAAAATAAAAAAATATCAGATTTGAATAGGGTAAAACCCAAATAAGAAAGCTGTAGTGAAGTCTGATATAAAGTAAAAGCAATGGGTATTTTGTTTCTAAGTCTCTAAACATTTGTGAATTATCCTGAAGAGCTAAAAAATTTAGGTAGACACTAACTTCCAGGTTGTGTGGTATTGATTATACCAACAAAGTTTATCAGCTAATTTATTGTCTATTTTGACTAGATTTGGTTTTCCATATTACATTTTGTGCCAAAGCTGACTGGAATTTTAAAGCCAGTAATAGAGGGTGATTTGATGAAGGGGAGTCCTCTGTGCTTGAAGTTGCCCTGGGCGTGTCCAAAAAATAAATTAGAGTTGGTACTTTTTCCCAAAAATCACAGGGCAGCCACCTTCTACCTAAGAACTTTCCCTTGCAGATGAAACTTAGACTTTTTGAGAAAAGCTGACCTGCTGATATACCATAGGATTCTGGGTACTTACTATTATCTAATGTCAGTACTTTTGATATTTTAAAAAAATTAATAGACAGTATCAAAAACAATAAATAGCAAGATCTGATGAGTTATACTTCTAGTTCTCCAGCTTCCTATACAAGATTATGAGTATTAAGTATTAGTAAATTGTAGTATATTAATATAGTGTTATTAACCTGCAAATTTCAGAACTGAATTCTGGAAGAGCATACATAAGCATTGAGAAGCATATACAAAATAGAAAATTTATATATAAATTGCAATTATATATAGCAATTTACTTTACATCCAATTGTCTTTCAGTCTGTCTCCACAATCTCAGAGACCATGGCAGATTTTTTAAAACTAATTTTACATATGCTATGCAAAAGGGAAATGATGATGATGAAGAGTTGGAACCTAGGTTGATAATCATTTAAATCTTAAAGGAAAAAAAAGAGAAGGTATACTAAATACTTTACATTTGCAGATTTGAACTCAAGCTTTCAAACTAAATAGGTTTCTGACCCTGGGAAATGTAACTTTGCTGAGAAATTAAACAGAGCAACCCAGGAATTCAGGGTGAGCTGGGATACACTAAAGAGGAACCTAGCTAATCTTGCCCAATTTTTTTTTTTTTTTAAGAGAGAGAAGGGAATGGTGGGAGAAAACAGAAGAAGGAAACATTGATCTTAGGTGCCCTTATCTGGACCCAACCACTAACCTAGGCATGTGCCCTCATGGGGAAGATTTCAACCAGTAGCCTTTTGCTTTGTGGAAGGACACCAAACCAGCTGAGCCACACCAGTCAGAGCTAATCTGACCCAAATTTGAAACTCAAACAGGCTTTGTCCTCACTTTAGCCTGACAGAACAGCTCTATAAACATTTTTATCTCCAGTTTAGAGTTGAAGAAACTAAGATTATATGCTTGGTAAATGTTAAGGATTTAGAGCCTTACAGGGTCTCAGCCCCATGAATCACAATCTGCTCTAGTGTCTTCAAAGAAAAAGAACTTTAATACTTATAAACCATCTTCTACTTATTCCACCTTAAAAAGTCAGAGTTACAGTACCCTAACAACCACTAGGAAGTTATTTAAGTATAATTTCTGATCCAAAGGGTCATACATCTTAAATATTTATAGAAGTTGCCAAATTTGGGGGGTTTTTTTAACTACCAAAACTTGTTCCCTACATGACAAAAAAAGAGTGCAGTTATTAAGGGCCTTATCATAAATAAATAAACACTTTCTTTCCCTTATGCTTTTTGAATAATTGAAAATCGGTTCCTATTGCTTTATTTGAAGAGCTGATAAGCAAGTCCTCAAACTAGGATACAAAACTATCTAATCCACCTCCTTTGTTTTATATTTATAGACAAGGAACTTGAAACCTTGTAAAACAATTTCATCAAAGTCACACAGCTATTACCAGCACCAACATCAGAAGCCAGCACTAGTGACACTTAATATGTGCTCTTATAACTCTTAGGGCAGGAGGAATACATATACAAACAAATTTACCAATTAGTTTGCTTGACATGTTCTTGTATAATCCATGTAGCTATCATTATGGCCCTCTCTCCTTATGCCCACACTCCTTAACCTGCCTCCCAAAGGCCTTTTTAACTCCTGACCACCACTTAGCCACATCTTTCATAACAACGGTATAACCCAGTACAGCAGGTCCTTGTGATAACATTCATAAGATGCCCTAGAAACTTAACTCTTGTTCGTATCAGTTAGCCAATGGTAAAACTGGTTTTACAAATTCCAGACTATCGACAACCTTAGGTGAGGACTTACTGTAACTCAAAGCATGATCTAGGAACCAGCAGCTTGAGTATCACCTGGCCTGGTGTAGCTCCTTTCCACGTCCATCCAAGGCCCTGACAGCAGCCAAAATAATCATACTAAAACATGTGACATAATGGCATGCTTCTCCATAAAACCCTTAAATAGCTTTCTTTTGCTTTTACTATAAGGATCAAAATTTTTAACACAGCCAGCAATACCCTGAAGAATCTGGCATCTGCCCCTCTATTCTCATCTCGACTTACTTGAGCCACATTTTTCCTTTGTTCCCACCTCTGTCTTTTCCTTCCTTGCCTTACACTCTTAGATTCAATGCCACTTCACCAGAATGGCCTTCCTTAGTCTTCCACACTAGGTTAGAACCTAGTATTTTTTTTGTATGTATTTTCATAAGTATCTTAGGGATTTTTTTCCTTCATTGCACATAACCACAATTACTTTTCACTTGATCTTAGCCAAAAGGCTGAGAAGGGATGCCCATAGTTACTATCAAACGCCCTCAAGAGAGCTGGATTCCCAAAAAAGTGGAATGGATAGGGCTAAGTTTTTTGTTTTGTTTTCCCAGCTTTATTGAGATGTAACAGACATGTAATATTATATAAGTTTAAGGTATACAACACAATGATTTTCTATATGAATATATTGTGGAATGATCTCCAAAATAAAGTTAACACCTCCATCACCTTACATAATTTTGTGTGTATGTGGTGACAATATTTAAGATCTACTCTCTTAGCAACTTTCAAGTATACATTGGTGATACAGTATTGTTAACTATAGTCAACATGCTGCACATAGATCCCCTGAACTTATAACAGGAAGTATATACCCTTTCACTAACATCTCTTCATTTCCCCCAGTTCTCCCCCCAGGACCTGGCAACCACCATTTCTATTCTTTTTAAATAAGTTAAGCTTTTTTTTTTACATTCCAAATATTATGTAAGATCATACAGTTTTTGTCTTTCTCTGTCTATTAAGAGTATATACCACATTTTCTTTACCATTCATCCTTCTGTGGACACTTAGGTTGTTTCTGTGGCTTGGTTATTGTAAATAATGCTGTGATGTACATGGGGGTGCAGACATCTCTTTGAAATAGTGATTTCTATAAGAAAACAAAATTTGCCGTCCCAAATTATTTCTCTTTGGCACAAGGACTACTTTAGGCTGATTATTTTTAAGAAAGCTGCAGACATAGGAAAAGCTCTAAAAACAGTAGAAGTTACCCTTTTGTAAGAGCTTTTTACTTATAACTGTATAAGGGAAATCTCCACTTGTAAGGGTGACTCCTGCACTTAAGTGGGGAGAGGGGGATGACCTGATCTCTAGAAACAACTATTAATGGAAAAGTCAATGACTTAACATCTGCTTAATAACTTTACTCTTGGTTACTATGCTTTCCTGGTAACTTCCTGTCCCATAACTGACTGTCCCCCCTCGCCCCCTGCCCCCCCCCCAGCCGCCAAAGGCTTAATTTGTCTTTAGCTGGTGATGTTATTTGAGGTGGTGGCTTCAGCCATTTCAGAGTTGCTCAGTTTTCTTGGATCTCTCCCATGTGTACAAGAGGTACACATTTTTAAACTTTAAACTTTTGGTTTTCTCCTGCTAATCTGATTCAGGTCAATTTGATTATTAGACCAGCCAAAAGAACCTAGAAGGATAGAGGAAAAATTTTCCTTCCCCACATTTTATTTCTTTTGGATACATATCCAGGATTGGGATTGCTGAATCTTATGGTAGTTATATTTTTAATATTTTGAGGAACTTCCATACTATTTTCCACAGTGGCTGTACCAATTTACATTCTAACAGTGCAAAAGTGTTGCCTTTCCTTCACATCTTGGCCAACACTTGTTACCTGTGGACTTTTTGATAACAGCAATTCTAAGAGGTGTGAGATAATATCTCACAGTTGTTTCTTGTTGCTGTTGTTCATTGTGTGTGTGTATTTTTTTTTTTTACTTGTTACAACTTAATTCTGGTTCAAATACGAGGATAGAAAAAGTCCAACCATTGTTAATGAAACAAAAATGGTTTGCACAACATTGATATAACCTGGCAGCCAAGGAAAGTAGATGGGAATGCACATGTGTGAACAATGATGACTTCACTGTACTAGTCAGTGGGGGTGGTAGACACCTGTCTGTGATCATGTGTACTCTGTGGCCATCACATTCAAAATGAGCAAGGAGAGCACCAAAGCTGCATCAAATTTTGCATTCAGTTTGAACCTTTCCCCGTGGAAACCATTTGGATGATTCAGAAGGCTGCAGCCATAGGGAACTGGTGACTGGCAGCTCCAGTACTACAACATGCCCACTCATGTATCACATCTGGTGCAGGGATTTTGGCAAAATGTTAAATCACCCAGGTGACTCAGCCCCCCTACAGCCCAGATTTGGTGTCCTGTGACTTCTGCCTTTGCCCAAAACTAAAATCACATCTGAAAAGGAAGAGATTTCAGACCATCAATGAGATTCAGGAAAATATGACGGGGCAGCTGATGGTGATCGGGAGAATAGTGTGAGGTCCCAAGGTGACTCCTTTGAAGGGGACTGAGGCATCATTGTCTCAGTGTTTCTTGTACAATGTTTCTCGTATCTTCCTCAATAAATGTCTCTTTTTCATTGTACATGGCTGGATACTTTCTGGACAGGTCTTGTCATAAATACATTTTTATAAAAAGTTCTTTTTAATTGTATTTTTTCCATTACCATTTATCTTCCCTATATGCTCTTCCACCTCCACCTGCCCACTCCCTGGCACCAGTCACCGCACTGTTGTCTATGTCCCTGAGTTCTTTTTCTCTTTTGCTCCTTCCCACTATACACGCCTCCCCCGCCACCTGCACAGAGCTATCAGCCTGCTCTTTATCTATGAGCCTGTCTCTACTTTGCTTGTTAGCTGAGTTTTTTCATTAGATTCCACATATTTTGAACACCTTTTCATGTACCTGTTGGCCATTCATGTGTCTTTGGAAAAATGTCTATTCAGGTCCTCTGCCCAATTTTTAATCAGATTGTTATTTGTTTTACTTTTGAGTTATATGAGTTCCTTGTATATTTTTAATATTTTTAATATTAACCCCTCATGAGATACATGGTTTACAGACATTTTCTCCCATGCTTTTGATTGTCTCATTCTGTTGATGGTGTTTGGGTTTTTATTGTTCTGTTTTGTTTTCCTATGCAGAAACTTTGATTTGATGTAGTCCCACTTGTTTATTTTTGCATTTGTTGCTTGTATTTTTGGTGTCATATCCAAAAAATCATTGCCAAGACTAACATGAAGGAAATTCTTCCCTATTTTTTCCCAGGAGTTTTGCAGTTTCAGATCCTACATTTAAGTCTTCATTTCAAGTTAATTTTTGTGAGTGGTATAAAATAGTGTTGGTGTTAAGTTCAATAGTTTTGGGGGGTTTTTTCCCCCCAGAACTTTATAATTGAGAATGATTTGATGTGTTTATATTTTAGGATAAGAAAAGTACTTCAGCTTCATGTTCAGACAGAGAAATGAAACCTGAACAACTGCCTACTTGTGTGAACCCTGGCAATCCTGTGTTTTCATGTATGTTGGATCCAAAGACACTCCATACAGCAACCTCACTCTCTGTTCCTAAGATGATTATGTATAAAACCAGTTCAAGTACTTATGGTGAATTTTTACCTATGCCACAGTTTTTTCCCTGCAATTATACTCCAAAAGGGCAAGAATTTTCAAGCCATATCAGAGCTACTGGATTTTATCAAAATAATACTCTAAACACTGCACCTGACAAAACCAGAACACTTGATTTTCCTAATTTTCAACACACTCTATGAAAATATATTCCTTTGTATATTTAAGAGAAAATAAACTCAGGAAAAAATGAGTTTTAAGACTAAGGCTAGAATTCCTATTTTGAAATATAAAAATATTTGAATTTCAAAAGTACCTTTAAGAAATAAAGCATTTCACCAGAAAACTGAGTAATATTGACTTTTTTTAAATCCTCACCCAAGGATATGTTTTATTGATTTAGAGAGGAAGGGAGAGGGGAGAGAGAAAGAGAAAAAAACACTGATTGGCTACCTCCCACACATGCCCCAACCACCTAGGTTGCAGGTTCTATCCTCAGTAAGTGCCCTCATTAGGGATGGAACCCGCAACCTTTTTTGGTGTATAGGATGACACTCCACCCAGCTAAGCCACCAGCCAGGGCTGAAACTGACTTCTTAAATACAAAAGTGTCCAGAATGGCTGCTTAAAAGGTAGAAGCATTTGTGTACATCCTAGCCTTATTTATTACATGTACTTCCCAAGCATCAAAAAACCTTCATGATCTCACTTGTCCACTGAGTATATTTATCAAGAAAAAGGAATACAGGAGCTCTAAGAAAAAAGATTAAAATAAGGGAGACTCTGACCAGTTTTCCCACTTTTGTGTTATTTCAAGTAATGTCTTTGAACCTGGGGAAATGTTAGTTCCCTCTGCCAGACTTGTGGAAGAGAAGATTTGTTATTCATTCATTCAGCGAATAGCTATTAAATACCTACTTATGGCAGACACTATACTATGCAAATGTAACAAAAATAAAAATATTTATTGTTTCAGTGAATAATATTTCAGGAGAGATTGGCAAATTAATAATATGTGATAGTTTATGCAATGTAAAGTATACAAAAGGTCTTTTAGACATACAGACAGAATTGCTCAAAATGAGACGCTGGCCAAGTAGCTCAGTTGGTTGGGGCATCGTCCGGATACACTAAGGCTGCAGGTTCGATCCCCAGTCAGGGCACATAAAAGAGTCAACCAATGAATGCATCAATAAGTGGAACAACAAATTGATGTTTCTTTCTCTTTAAAAAAGATTTTTTAAAAAATGAGACCAAAGAGATTAGAAGAAGTATCCTGGAGAAGGTAAAGCCAAATGAAAGGTCAGTCTAAGCAAAAGGAACAGAATGTATGAAAGTACAAAGATGTGAGAGAATGGGGTATACTTTTATAAATGCAGCTAGTTTGATACAGGCTTCCCCTGCAGTCCAAGAGTAGAGTATTTCTATGAAACTTTCATAAGCTGAAATGTTATAAAATGAAGAGTATCCTCCACTTTCTATAAGTTTGCATTACACCACTTCACTTTTACAGAAGACCTACATTACTACCTGTTTTCCCTAACCAAAAGAAACCCAAAGAGGGTTTTTGCTTTTACCAGAAAGCTGTTACTGTCACTGTACCTAATTTTCCTTTTTGATTTTAGGTTCAGGATATTAACATTAATTAGGAAGAATAATCTTGTGAGTCACTAAGGGATCAGAAAAGCCTGATCTTCTATTTACAAATATGTCTTGATGTGAGCAAACAGTGTAAACTCTGCAGCCTCATGAAATTCTTTAAGATACACCCAAATTTGTTATTTGGTAATGGCAAAGCAAGAAGAAAAAGTGGTTTTGTTCATTTCCTCTAAAACAGCAAAAATTGAGGTACTACACAAGGTTTTGAGGCAAATAATGCAACAGAATTTGAATGTACTAGATTTTTCTCTACGTAAACTGTACAAACCATTTTCCCCTTCACTGTAGGTGATTAATTTGTGGCAAGTGAAATTAACTTTTATCTTTTATTTTAAATTAGCTGCTATCTCTCTGAATTCCATGTCTCACTGAGCATCAAAAACTACCAATCTTTTAGTCCTTTTCTTGTACATTATTCTGTATCCACATTATCTGTATCTAACTGGATCCCTGGATTTTATTTCATTTTCTGTGTGACATTCTCCACAGATATATATCATTGGCTGCTGCTCTGGTTCTTGGACGTCCATCTGGGTGTCCATCTGGGTGTCCATTGTTAGTCCCCAAGTTGCTTCGAGAAATTCCTCACTCTTCCCTTCCAAACGGACTGCCCCAAATTTTCTTAAATAATCGTGTACACAATATGAAACCGGAAAAGCTGGTGTTCATGCTGCCTGTCACCTACCAGACCCAATAAGCAGAGACAGGGATTGTATCTTTATGGGCACTTTATTCAGATGGCCAGCGATCTGAGAAGACTTTGGATTTGTATCCTAACAGACTGTCTTAAATTCCATTTTAAACCACCCCTTTTTATAAGGAGAAGAAAAGTGTAGGTAAGAGGTTTGGAATTCAGGGAAAAAGTTAACCAGATAAAACCTTCAGCTTTCTTTATCTGTGCCCTGGGTGGTGGTCTTTATCTGTGCCCCTGGCTGTGGGAGTCTCACTCTGGAGCACAATGGCTCGGATACCATCCTGATTGCTTGCAGGCCTCCTGAAGCACACAGGTGGAACTGCTTATGGTCTCCTGGAGCCAAGGTGGGTCATACCTTCGGTTCCTGTAACAATAGCTTTTTACATACATTGATTACTAAGCTTAATAGCTATTACCTGAAGCTAAAATTTTTCCAACATTTGAGTCCCCCATAATATATACTGGTCATCACACAGTAGTGGGGGATTAAAGATCTCTCCAGTTTACATTTATGTAAAGGCTACATTTAATTTTTTTTAAATATTTTATTTATTTATTTTTAGACAGAGGGGAAGGAAGGAAAAGGAGAGGGAGAAAAACATTAATCAACTTCCTTTTGCACCTGCAACTGGGGACCCAGTCCACAACCCAGGCATGTGCCCTGACTGGGAATTGAACCAGCAATCCTTTGGTTTGCAGGCCAGTGCTCAATCCACTGAGCCACACCAGGCAGGGCTACATTCAATTTTTTATCTACTTAGCATTTTTAAACTAATTTCAATCAAACAACTGGCATATGAAAAAATGAACAACCATAACAATTTTTTCTTTTATTCACAGGCTTTAACAATAGCGCTATTATTTGCGAGGTATGTTTTTAATCACAAAGGGAATGAAAATATCTTCATCAATAGTTTAGCTCTATCACCCACCATATCAATGGAAACCAAAAGTCCATTGGAAACCGTATGAGGTTCAATAAGAGGTCAGACATTTCATGGATACAAATGAGTACCTGTTGCATTTAAATTAACACTTTATTTAGAGGAAAAGGTCAAAAATATTAATAACTAACTATTGAAGACTTTCCACTCTACCTCCTCCAGCTAATGGGCAATCTTTTGTTTTCTGATTGGGATGGTAATAGGAAGAGCCAGAGGAAAAACTAAGTTGGCCAAAATATTTTGAATGTCAAAATGGTATTTTGACAAAAAAGGCCTACCTTTATTTTGCTCATTTATAAAATCTAAATATTGCACAACAGGCTACTAAGCCAGGACGAGTGGAAAAATAAAAAGCAAACAAGCAAACAAACCAGAGCTGATTGTAAGAAAAAAACAATCCTGCTGCATCGGAAAGACTGATAACTGGACAGGACTGCTATAGAAAGTTTCCTAAAGGAATTAAAATTTCAAGGTTGCTGAGCTAGGATCTCTTATACAGTCAAAAAATATTGCCTTAAAAAAAAGCTGTTTTATAATTCACTTGAATGACACCAGATGATTAAAGACTATAAAAACTTTTCCCAGATTTGTTTTCCTAAAAATCTAAATATTGCACAACAGGCTACTAAGCCAGGACGAGTGGAAGAGGGAAACTAAGACAGGTAACAGCCAAGCAGTTTAAAAGTCATCTAGTAAATCACTAAATCCCATCTTCTGAAACCAAGGACACTTAAGAGTAAATGATTTACCCTTCTCCCCAACCAGAGGGTAAATAGGTTAAATCACCCTGCTCTGGGAGATAGATAGCAGAAATCCAATTAGTGCTGTTTGCCAGCCACACCCAAGGACAGATGAAGATAATGGACTAAATCTCATTTTGGTACATCAGCATAAAGCTGAGATCATCCCCAAGACCTCCCCTAAACCCTCAGTCTTTGAAAACCACCAAAAGGAAGGTTCTAGAGGCACACTCTCCTTCCCAAGAGCAGCCTGTGCTTTTCCCTTACCCTTCTTCTTCCCCCATAGGCCTGCGCCTGCTGAACTCTAAAGGACTCCCATGAGGCTTGCAACCAGGGGAGCAATGGGCAGCCACCACTCATTCCAGGCAAACCTGCTGAGCCGTCCCAGAGGCCCCATTTTCTCTGACTTCTTAGCCAAAGCAGCCCAGCCTAGGCTTATTTCTCCACCTAGTCCCTCTCCTGTTGCTTCTTCTATCCTAGGCCCTTCCTTGTTTCACTGTCCTCAGCTTTGATAAACATCCTCTAAAATCACTTGAACTCCTATTGGGAAATCTTTCCTGCATGAAGCCAAGAACCCACCCACTACCGGCCAGCTCTAGGCAGAACCACTCAGGGCCAGGTACCCTTTCCGGTAACAACAGGATCAGAGAATTGTGACAACGACTGTATGTAAAAGGGAAGCTGTACTGTTTTTGCTTAAAGCTTGCATCATGACATTGATACAGCACAAATGGTGCAATCCAATGCCAATGACATAACATTCAAAGTTAACATTCCACCTTTTGCTTTTCCTGGGTATTAGAGAACTTACCTTCACCAGGTAGTGTTTGAAATTGAAAATAAGGTTTTCCAAACAGTTGTTTTACTAGGTTGAACTGATGTAACCTCAAGCAACAGGTGGTGGAGACATATTAAAGAAAAAAACAACAAAAATGGTTCTGTGCACTTGGAAACTACACAAACACATCAGTATTGATTATACCAAGGTCAACCAGTCAGACAATTAAATAGCATATTTAATACAAACAAAAATGCTTTACAAGCACAATCTTTTTATTTTGAAATTCTACCCTGTTAAAAATGAATCAGTAAGTGTCCTAGTAATCATCACACCAACAAGTACTTTGTTAGTTATATGAGCAAGCTGAATTTAGTAACAAAAGTATATAATTAAATTACATATTAATATAAAGAAGCAAAGAACTAAATGAGATTATTCTTATTTTGATTTACTTATTCAGAAGCCATTCAACTCAAACATATTATTTTCTATAGATTTATAATATTTTCCCTCCACAGAACTAGAGCACTAAAATGAAGTGATTCTGCACAATCAGCCATAATATGTACAAAGATGCCCAATGCCTTCAGTTATTTTTGAAAAACTTAAAACAATACCCATTACAATACCTAGTTGCTTCCAGTAGTCATTAAGATTAGGATTTTAGCTCTGTTCCTTGAATTATATTCCGAATCTTCTCAGCATCATTTTGTACAATTATGTTGGATGGGTCAATCTTAAGTGCAGCTTCATAATCCTGTAGGCCTATATTTTATATAGCAATAATGATCAATAAAAGTATTTCATAAATACTTACTTGCGTTATCTATACAATATTTTTTAAAAATAAAAATAACATCTGAGAACAGGGTTCAGGACCACTACCAGGATTAAAATAAGAGTCCTATCTTCACACATAGGGTAGCATCTCTGAGAGACTGCAGACATATTTCAGTGATTTCAGAAATAAGTATAATGAGTTCATTCAAGACCCAGTAAGAAGCAGTTATTTTAAATTCAAGAACAAATATACTAAGACCTTAAACTTAGTAAAGCATGAACAGAATCTATAAAACTCATATAACGAATATAATCCATAAACTGTAGTTTGTGGGATTTTTCTGTAGTTATGATATCTACAGAATTCCTTTAAGGAAAATTGGTTAAGAAGGAAAGCATTGTGAAGGGGCTGGGAAAAATACGACTGAGGCCATGACTAGTGTGGCTCGGTTGAGCATTGTCCCCACAAAGCAAAAGGTTGCAGATGATTCCTGGTCAGGGCCGCAACCCGCCTGCCCCGCACTGGGGGTGCGGGGGAGGTGACCAGTCTATGTTTCTCTCCCTCTCTTTCATCTTCCTTTCCCTTATCTCTAATAAAATAAGTAAATAAGTAAATAAAATATTTAAAATTATATATATATATCCAAATCTAAATCTTTACCAATAAGGCAGTTGGAACAATTTTTTTGGGAGGAAGGAAACAAGTTAAGTGCTATTGATCTGCCATACCACTTCAGGTAAGTCCTGTCTTCTCCAACCCTTCATTTTCTCATCTTTAGCTCAAAAAAGTCTGACGCTATTATAATTTGTAAAGATGGTTTTACAATGTTGCATTCCTACTTGGTATTTTTTATCTTCATGAAGCTAGATGAAGGTACTAAAAAAAAATGGGACATTTAAACCTAATTTGGATATTTTGGTTAGGAAGATCTCTTAAAAATGGCAGAAACAAGTTTAAAAATGAAGTCAGAAATAATAAAACTTTTAAAGGCTAGAGCCCATTAGGCCTTGAATGCAGGGAAGCTAGAAAGGCATCTGGGAGAGGTATGCAAAAGGGAGAGCTGAAGATAAGACTCTGGCTACTCCAACATTTTGCCTTTGGAGCAACATGAGTAGTTAACCACAAATAGTCCCTAAATACATTAGAAATGTAAAACAATAGCAATTAAATAAGTGCTAGATGGCTTCTATAGACATAGGGCTTACCTACAAACCTTAGTACAGTGTTACACATATAAGCAATGATCCCACATTGTGGTAGATTTCTGAGCGTGTGTGTGTCCAAAGAAGCTCATTTTAAAATTTCCATTACAACTTATGTGACTCGTTTATATCCTTTATCACACATCTTTTCATGGAAAAGCTGATAGCACAGCATTTTCCTAGATGTAAACCTGTTTATATCTTGTTCTAACTCCCTTCTACAATAATTTTTGTCAGGTAAGTTACAAAGAATAAATTAAGTGCTAAAATATAAAATAATAGAGCCCTAAAAAGTATGATTTTAAATAATCCCAATGGGATTTTTTTTTCAAAGTGTAATATGGAACTTAAAACATTTCTATCATTTTCTTACCTTCTACATACAGCTCTAGTTGACAGAATGCTGTACCACGTCGTACATGTGCCTTCATTCTTGCATTAGCATTGTCTGCCACAGGCGGTGTCAACAATTCTAGGGCCTTACAAAAAAAAAAAGAGAGAGAGAAAGACAGAACATTCTAATTTAAATTTGAACAGAAACATGGTAAAAGCCTTAATTTTAAAACAAGCCTCAAATGGTGATGGAAAAGTAAATAAATAAAAATAAAAAGTAAAGTTAAGAAAAAGACAAGCCCTAAACCCTCACCTACCTGAACTTTTGGCTTAGCTAGCACAGGAATTTAAATATATATACTGATGTTAAAAAAAATAAGGAATTTTTCAATTCTTCATACCCTCTCCCCCAAAGTTATGATTTGGTTTATCATTTGAAACCTCTAAAGATTTACCCTTACTAGCAAGAATGATTAAATAGCATTTGTACTTTTTATATTCAAATTAAAGGACTGTTTATTCATTTATTCAATAAATATTTGTTTATGCAACAAAGTTGCACTAGCAAAAGGAAAACTAAATTTTAAAAAATCACATGTTTGGTAGCTAAATAAATCAAAGTGTGAGGACTTGGTTGTTTCCTCTACATCCTTAATCTCAAGGAGCCACCCAAGAGATTTAGCATGTGATTCTCCCTTAAAACAAGTTACTGTGATATGAAAAAAAGAAAAAACTAGCAGTTTAAAATAATTACATGATATTAGTAATGAAAATTATGATATAGGTTACTCTGAAAATGGAAAAAAATTATTGAGATAGCCTTTTCCTGTGCAGGTTGTAGTGATATCAAGTGTTCTTTCTTCTACCTTGCATTATGTGTGCAAAATTTTAATAAGAAAAAAGGTGAGCACAAACTAACAACAATTTACTCATTTCCTTGTGAATTTCAACTGATATATCAAGGCAACACAGTAGCAATTGATAGGAAACTTCCAATCTAACTTGAAGTCTCAAGAGACACCAGTTCCTTATCCATGGGGGGAGGGGGATGTAATAAGCAAGACGATTCTTAAAATCTTTTACTATTTAAATAATCTTCAATTATTTATTAACATATAAAAAGTAAGGGCATCATTTAAACCAATACATAGGAGGATAACAATTTTAAAGTACCATATATAAATAAATAGATATATATACCTTAGAAGAATCTTCAATGGCCTTGTGTAAGTTTTTTAATTTTAGGTGACAAGCAGCCCGATTCAGATATAATAGTGGAATCTTATTATTTAGTCTTATGGCTAAGTTGTATGCATTAATAGCTGCCAAATAGTTTTCTGTTGCAAACAATTTGCTAATGAGACAAAAACAGGAAAAAATATATATATAACATTGAAACAGAAACAAAGAAACAATATCTAAGGATATTTTCTATTCCCTGTACAATGGGGGTTGTAGGCTACACTGACTCCACATACATCAGCATGTAATCAGCATAACCTCACTCTTACCTCTAGGGGAGACATCAGTAGTTTAAGCCAGTAGACATATTTCCATCCTCCTTGCTACGATCTTTTTTTAAAGATTGTATTTATTTTTTTAGAGAGAGGGGACGGGGGGAAGAAAGAGAGGGAGAGAAACATCAATCAGTTACATTTCGCATCTGCAACTGGGGACCTGGCCATAACCCAGGTGTGTGCCCTGACTGGGAACCAAACCAGTGACCATTCATTTCTTAGGCCAGCACTGAATCCACTGAGCCACACCAGCCAGAGCTTTACTCCAATGACTGAGAGATAGGCTTATGACCTAAATTGCATTCAGAGTAAAACCTGTGACTTCATTTCCAAAGTTAGAGAATGAAAAATTGGAAAAACTCCCCCTGCTGGACACAAATGAAGAAAGCACACAGCCTAAATGGTTGCTGAGCATTTCTAACACCATGGGAGGAGCAAATACAAGAATAAAGCTGATACCATGGAATTATAAAAAGAATAAAAAGGCAGGAGGAAACTGAATCTTCGGTGATACAATTAAGCTGCTGGATCAAGCTTTACCTAAAATACAATACAGCTTTAGCTTTTTAGTTATATTAGCCAATAAATTCCTTTTAACATAAATCCAGTTTAAATTGGGTTTTCTTGGTTATTGGCAAACAAAAGCATCCTAATAGATAAATACTCTATTAAAATCTTCCAAAATTCTCTTAAAATAAATATAATTAAAGAATTGATTTAAAATGTTAAGTTTCTTTTTTATTTTTCATGTACAATTCCTGGAATTTTCAAAAATGTATAAGCATAAGGAAAATAGCAAATACTTTGCCAAGTATAAAAGTGCCATATAAATAACCCTTTGTATTCATTTCCAGTCAATTGTGCATACTTTACAGTTCTAGAATATTAAACATGACGACATCAAAAGCAGGCCCATAAAAGCATCCAGGAAATTCTGAGTAAAAGGTAAAATGACACCACTGTGACACCTAACCTAAGTCTGACTCAAGCTTAAGTTAACCTGCGCAAACTAAAAAAGCTAATTCTGTGGGAACGGTTTCCATACCTGAAATGCTTCATATCAGCTAGGATGTTTCTGACCACAAATAACAGAACCCCAATTCAAATTGGCTTAATTCAGTAAGGAAATAAGTTATCTTACATTTTAAAAAGTCTGGAGGGAAATACTCTGTGCCCAATATAACCAGCACATCAAGTGTATTATCAAGGGCCCAGCTTCCAGCCATTTCTCCATTCTACTGTACTGAGCAGCTACTGCATCCTAGGCCTGGTTTTCTTCATGGTTGTAAAATGGCTGCATAGTTCAAGGTGCTACATTCGGGCCCAACAGTCATTAGAAGACAATAAGACAATGTATTCTGATATATGACCCTTAACAGCAAGAAAACCTTTCCCAGAAATCTCCTGGTACATCTCCTTTCCCTGCTTATAGACCAAAAGTACCTACCCTTAAAAAATATTTCCTCTTAAAAAACCACCAGTCTTTTTCTCCCTGAACTGCTCTCCCCACTTTCTCTATCTCCTCACTTTTACTCCCCAATACTACTTATTGCTGTTTTAGAACACTTAAAAAAATTCAACAATATGACCATCTTTCCATGTTAATAAATACAGGGATGCACTATCTTTTGCCATGGAGTTGTAGATATATGCATATTCTGGATATATGATTTACCAGATACATGATCTGAAAATATTTTCTCTATTTTGTGGGTTGTCTTTCACTCTTTTGAGTGTTTCTTTTTAGAAAACATTTTTTAAAATTTATTTTTAGAGAGAGGGGAAGGGAGGGAAACTTTGAAGAAAGAAAGAAACATCAGTCAGTTGCCTCTCATACATGCCCCATCCGGGGACTGAACCCACAACCCAGGCGTGTGCCCTGATCGGGGAATAAAACTGGAGACTTTTACTTTGTGGGATGACACCCAAACAACTGAGCCACACCAGTCAGGGCAACAGTGTTCTTGATGTACAAAATTCTTAATTTTGATGCATTATGACTTATCTATTTTTTTTATTGCCTGTGCTTTCGATGTCACATCCAAGAAGTATTGTCACATCTAATGTCATGAAGCACCCTGTGTTTTCTTCTAAGAATTTTGTAGTTTCAGCTCTTATGTTTAGGCTTCTTATCTATTGTGAGTTAATTTTTGTATATGATGTTAGGTATGGATCGAACTTGATTTTTTTGCAAGTGGATATCCAGTTTTTCCATCACCATTTGTTGAAAAAACTGTCTTTTCTCCACTGAATAGTCTTAGCACATTTTTTGATAATCATTTGGCCATATGGTATGTGAGGGTTATTTCTGGACTATCTATTCCATTGGTCTACATGTCTGTACAAATCTTGTAATAATATATACATTTGAAGGACAGTTCCATTTTCATCGTTAATGTAAGTTTACAGTTTTATAATGCAACAGTTTTTTCAGAAAAATTCTCCCAGATTCTAAGGGAAGAAGAGCTACAATAAACAGCATTAAAAGAATCACTGTAGGATGCATAATAACAAGAAATATGAAGTGTTAACACTTTAAATGTTTACATATTAAAATATAAATCCATATGAATATTACATTCATTAAAGTTCAATACCACTACAAATAGCCAAAAATTGCCTGAACTCAGAAAGAGCCAAATTTCAAAAGAAAAAGGAAAAAAATTAAACCTCTGTCTAAAAAGCAGTCATCACTGAACATCATTTTTAAACAAAGACGTTAATCACCATTAAGTCTACCCAGAAGCTCCAAATAATACAATGCTAATGAAAACAATTATGCAAAAGTACTCGTTTATTAAGCATACATTGAGTGCTTATTTATTCAAGAGACAAGGATAATTGCAAACTCCTCTCATTTTTATGACTGGTTTGCCTTTGTAAAGAAAGAAACATTCTAACTGGCAATGGCCAAAGTGGTCAAACATTTTATACAAGAGTTGAATGTGGGAAAAGCAACAGGAGGCAGGAATAACAAGAAAGAAATGAAGTGGAGAGAAAGAAAAGAGGAGAAATCAGAAGTAGTTGGGCTTAGAAACTGCGATGGGGGCAGGGAGCAACACATTCCTACAGAGGATAGAACAGCTCTGTTTTGTGGGCATTAGGAACTGCAGTACCCACTGCCCCTCAAAGAATTTTGAGAGTCCTTGTCTCAGCATCTTGTCTGCATATAAAATATTCTTGGGTATCTCAAGGGCTTCTAAAGTCTATACCAGTTTGCCTTAGGCACAGGAACCAATACAATTTAGCACTCAGGATGGAAGGAGGAAAAGGACACTGCATACTAAGTCCGGCCATGATAGGTGCACAACAGCAGAATGTCATGGGCTGTAAAATGCATACAAACAAGCAACTGAACAAAATTATAATTATGTCAAAAAAGCCATCTTAGAAGATGGAATCCAAACTTCCTTAATCAAAAGAAAGGTAGCAGCATGAGAAAACTGTCCATAAAGAGAGTTTTAAAAATGCAGCAAAGCAAGGCAGGTTTGGCAGATATGTACTAAAAGTGGGCAGGTACACGGGGCTGTTGGGAGATAGTTCTCCATGGGTCTTATGTCAGACCTACTGACAGATTTTGTTTGGGTCTGTCTTTTCAAAGATTTTTGTATAGCACACAACCTTGAAAGACAAAGATAGTGTGTCCCTCTGGGACAAAGAGCAGATTTGTTTGCTGTTCTGTGTAATAAAGACAATATCTCCCTGTGAGGCAAAGGTTAGACAGATTCGCTTACAATGTTATAAAAAATCATGTTCCTTATACTCACCCTTCTCAGCTGTAGTGCAAACCTACTGTGTGTATGGCATCCACCTGGGCCCACCTGTGCAAAGGCCCTGTGGGACTAGAAGGGCAATGGGAACCAACACGAATGAAACTCATACTTCTTGCTGTGTCCTGAATAATAAAGTCCATTGTCTCTGACCCATGAGTCTCCTGACTTCTGCCAGCATCCATTAAACTGTAGTAGCTAACCCATTATAGTTTTTGCCAGGGCACGGATCCAGACCAAAGCATTCAAAGAAAATCAATTTGACAAGTGGAACTGTAGGCCATGTTGGGAGATTACAGTAACAAGTGGTCAACAATCAGCATCAAGAAGTCCAATGTGATGAAAACTAGACTTTGTGTGGTGAGCACACAATAGAGTATACAGATGTCGAATTATAATGTTGTACATCTGAAAATTATATAAAGCTATTAACCAATGTTACCCCAATAAATTTAATTTTTAAAAAGTCTAACATGAAGTAAAAGAACATCCAGTTAGACAGAATCCCATCTACAGAAAATTCAGAAACAGCAAACATACAGAAATTCAGACCAATTGGTAGGTTAGTCTGTCAGCAAATAGCAGGCTGCTACATCCACAGTTCAGAAGCAGGAGTTAACTTGGGTGGCAAGAGGAAAAGCAAAAGCAAACCACAGCCTTATTCTTTTTTTTTTTTTAATTATCACCCAAGGGTATGTTCATTGGCTTGAAAGAGAGAGAGAGAGAGAGAGAGAGAGAGAGAAACATTAATGTGAGAGAAAACATTGATCAGTTGCCTCCCACATGTGCTCTGACTAGGGGTCAAGCCCACAACCTAAGCGCGTGCCCTGACAGGGAACTGAATAGACAGCCTCTTGGTGGACAGGACGACGTTCCAACCGACAGAGCCACCCAGCCAGGGTCAGAGCCTCACTCTCTCTCTCTTTTTTTAAATGTACCCATTTTTTTTTCCATCACCATTTATCCCCCCATACCCTTTTCTACCTCCACCCACCCCCTCAGGGCCTCACTGTTAAAAGGACTGGAGTATCAGTCAGGCTACAAAATTTGGTACTTGGCTAAGATAA